ATATTCTAGGCCTCTAGCTTCCTTAGCAAAGGTCAGTTTTACCTTAACTGAGCCCTGTCCGTTGTTTTTACGCATTAGGATAACATACCTTTGAGACATTAGAGTAATTTTCTTTTCCAGATCCCTGGAAGGCACAATTGCAGGCACCAGAGCACAAAACTACCAGAGATGGAGATCATAGAATTCCTTATTATTATCTCCCTTCCCCCCCTCCCCCCGCAAATCATCTCTATTACTGTAAATGTTAATTATCAACTATTCTGTACCCAGTAATGTAAAAGAAGTTTGTGCTTTTTCATTTTGCTTTTTATCCAGTCCTAGAAATTCCCCATCTCTCTCTCTCACATACACACACACACACACACACACACACACACACACACACACACTTTGCTCTCTCCTGCCTTCTTAATCTACCACCGGTGGATTTCCTGTATCTTCCTTACGTTTTCTTCTTTGATTCTAAGTGCATAAAAGGGACTTCAAAATTGCCATTTTCCAGAGCAGCAGACCACTTTCCACGGACCACTGGTGGTCTGTGAGGTCCGAAAGGTTGGCGACCGCTGTTCCAGAGCTTTTCTCAATCTGATGAGACCTTGCTCTGTCTGGGCATGACCTCAAAAATTTGGCTAAAACAAACTCTTATAAAACTTTTCTGTAGGCTTGGATGTTCTTTCTACCATATTTGTATTATAATACCAGGGGAAGGAAATAGAGTAATATTTCCTGGTATTCCTTCACTAAAAGTAAGCAAAAAACCTATCCACTAATAAACATTATTGGCAATACCAAAGGCACTAGAATCTTAAAATTATTTTTCTTTGATACTCTATTGTAAGCTATTGAGTAAAGGATATATTGTCCTTTTCTTTCCTGGAAGAGGAAGAGCTCTTTTCAAGCAAAGTGCTTTTTTCATTTATTTCCTTTGTTGGGTGAAGAAGAAATTTCCCCTCTCTCCTCTTATTCTTTAGGTCTGGGCCTGAAATATCAACTCCACAGAAGGTCTTAAAGAACCATTCCTATTTTAGTGGATCCTCACCCTTACTTTCTTACCCTTGCACTGTTTTCTCCAAAGAATGTATTGTAATTTCAAGTGTGCTGTTTACAGTACGTTAAACAAAGATGGAATTAAACAGTGTACTGGGACACCCACAGTGCTTTGCACTGACTAATTTCTCTGTTGAACAGGAGAATATTGACTCTGAGAGTTTTTATTCTGGAAATTTCCCAGCTCAAGTCTGAGAATATTATTATCAAGGCAATTCCAAGCCTGAAAAAAGGTAATGGCATGAATTCAGCTCTGTCCTGAAATAAATAAGGAAGCTTATTCTCAGGGCCATAAAACAAGAGAAGAAACAGGAGTGGAAAAGCATGCAGACATAAAACCATGTGCTGAACCAGGTTTAATGCCCGCCCTCCCCCCTGAGCATAAAATAACAGTGCTCCCCTGGGCTTCATTAGAACCCAGTCAGGCCAAGTGGATGAGTGGAGTGAGTAACAATGACATTCTACCCAGGTCCCTTTACCACCCACGCTCCAGCCCCCTCCAGCTTCCTTTTGCTTCCCCAAGTCAGCACCTGGGGCTCTTCTATGGAGGATTGAGCCTGGGCTGCTGGAGGCTGCTTTGCTGGCAGCACAGAGAGTGGGAGATTTCTGGAAATAGCCACAAACCATTCCCTTTACCCAGTGTTTCCCAAAGTGTGGTACGCGTCCCCCCAGAGGTACGGGAAGAGTTTGGTGGGGGTATGCATTGCAGCGGAATTTGGTGGGGATATGCACTGCACCATGCATAGCTGCACCTAATTCTACGTTCTCATGAGTACAAGAGGTACTCAGCGTTACGAAAATTATAGAAGGGGTACACATATGTCAAAAGTTTGGGAAACTCAGTCATGGCATGACTGAGAGGTTGGGGAGTATGGAAGCACTGCGCCCCTCACCCCAGGACAGGAGTCCCTGACTTGATCAGGTGGGAGTCATGCTGGTGGGATGCACTCATTGCTTGGCTATCTCCTCTTCTCTGCCCCTGGTCTTCCCTCTTCCTTAGGGATTTTTCCTGGGAGCATTGCCCTCTTAAGTTACGTGTGCTCAAATTCTGGAAACCTCAGCTTAAGATCTGCTGGAGAACTAATCTTAAAATAGTGGGACAGACGTTTTTTGTAATTTTCCCTCTTAATAAGCACAGGTTGACTATTTATAATGCACCGTAGAGAAATAGAGATCATTACATGAACCCAAAATAGCAAAATAAAGTTCTGTAACCATGAACGTTATAGCTGTCCAAGTAGTTTAATGCAGCAAGAGTGAAGGCACACTGGAGACAGGGAATGGCAGTGAAAGATGGGCTGGCAAGGGTCATTTGGGGCCAGATTATGATAGGCATTGAAGTGATGCTAGGAAATTTAAAAGAAAAAAAGATATATTGAGGGGGGAAATAGAAAAGTGCAGAACAGTGTATGAAATATAATTTATGTACAAAAAGATTACAAATACCCCAATACATACATACTTGGGTTGTACACTGAATATTTCTGTATCGTAAACAGGGAGGCAAAAATGGGATGTAAGTGGGTGGGATTCAGGTAAGAGAAGAAATTTCACTATCTCTTCACTGTATATTTCTTCTGGAAGGATTAAAAAAATGTTTCAAGTGTTTGTCCTTGGGAGGACGGTTTTTAGTTTTCATTTAACACAATTTCATTGATTTTCTGACACTTATGTATTATTTTTACATAAAACTATTTAAATGGCATTATGGTTATAGGGCTTTTCTTTTTTATGCTTATCATTAAGGAAACACATCCACTTTTTTTTATTTTTATTTTTTATTTTTTTTTATTTTAAGCCATCGCTGCCATCTTTGTCTGTTTAGGAGATAATATTGATGGGGTCATGATCTGCAGGCCAACGCTTATTAGCCTACTGTTTATTTTATTCAGATTGTGTCTTTTCTGGAACATTTTGAATCTAACTTTATTGCTTTAAGATGTAATCTCCTTTGCCCTAGAATTCACCCATGTGTCTTTTCTTCAAGTTCTAGTAAAATGCTTATGAAAGGCCTGGGCTTTTCACAAACATTTTTTTCATGCAGCTTCAGGGCATGATTCCCTAGGCCTGGGCCCTGATCTCTAGAGGAGGCAATAGATGCGTTGTTCTCTTAGATACGGTGACAGAGGTAAATAGCATAAAGAGATAATAAATTTCACATGAGGATTCAAACACAAAGCACAGTTGGTGAGAAATCACATTTCTGTAAGTAATCTACCAGGTCTCTCCAAAGAGTATTACCATTTCATTTGTGTATGTGATCCCTGATTTTGAAGGATTGGTGAGATTTACAGAATGAAATTAATAGGCTATTTTACCCAATCGGATAATATAGAGATGAACACCTTTTAGAGTTAATTTAATTTAGCTTATATTGTATCTTCATGTAACATTTTCTACTTAATTTTACATGAAATTACCTTATCTTTATGCTTCCAATTAACTTCTTTTCTGAAGATATGTAACTTCTACTTTGGCTTATATAAAAAGTGAAGAGAAGGTAATGACAGAGGAAGCCAACGGAGAGGAGCAAGTACATGTTCTTCCTCAGCCTCCTCGTCCCCCTGACTTTTAACAAGGAGCAGGGAGGGGCTGGTAAAGAAATGCTTGCAAAGTCCCAGGCCCAGTCCCTTAAGCAGAGTGTGGAAGAATATATTTGGACCCGAGAGAGAACAATATAAAATTTTAAAGTAAACCTGTATGAAATTTTATTTTTTAATATATTTTATTTATTTTTTTTACAGAGAGGGAGAGAGATAGAGCTAGAAATGTTGATGAGAGACACATCGACCAGCTGCCTCTTGCACACCCCCTACCGGGGATGTGCTCGCAACCGATGTACATGCCCTTGACTAGAATCGAACCTGGGACCTTTCAGTCCGCAGACCAACGCTCTACCACTGAGCCAAACCGGTTTCGGCTGAAAAATTTTTTTTAAATGCATCTAATTAATAGGAGTTATAAAAGCACTTTCCACTTCTTTCTCTTTTCTACAAATGGAATGAGATATAGGTAATTTCAAATAACATCCCACCCAACTTTTTGAGCACCCACACAGCACTATATATTAAGCCCTGGGAGATTTGTATTGTCTATTATGTACAAGTTCAATACAAGGACAAAAGGATGGACAATTCTTGTCATGATTTTTGGGGGAAAAACACTTTTTTTTTTTTTTAACAGCACTGTTTTGAGTAATGAGCTTAGCTTGAGAACAATCCCACGAGCATAAATTCCTGTGGCAGTTACTGGTTATGAGATAAAAAGATTCCTTATCTGCTTTAGAGGAATACCTCAAGGGAAGACTTATTACCTTTTTCTTCTATCACAAAAATGCTTCTTCTAATTTCATGCAATGGTATTAAACTGTTAACAGAGTATTATCTGCAACCTACTTAACAACTAATGTTAAAATCAAATTATACACAAAGCATGACTAACTTTTAAGCTTTAAAAAATATAATTGGTGTTTAATTAGCTAAAAAGGTAAAGTTTAAAAATATATTCTGAAGTAGATTGATTCATTATCAGAGATTGACTTTCCTATTCTATTTAAATGGAAGAGAATTATGCCTTGCCTGGTGTCATTTTCCATCTTTACTGCCTTCCTCTGGCTTAAAAAAAAAAAAAAAAAATCACAACCCCATAGGCAAGCTAGGAAACGTGCAAATTTGTTAAATTTGTTTTCTGTATGAATAGAAACAAAATATTAGCTAAAAATTAGAGTCTGAATCATCTTCACTTGTATATATATTTTATTTAGAATGCTGCGACACTAACACCATGATAATAAACCGTCACAAATTTGTACTGAGAAGCACATACTCTTTAATATGTGCTGTTTTTCACAAGCGATTTAAGTATAGTATTATTATTACTTGGTACTAGAGTCAAAGACGACTTTTAGCTTCTTCAGCTTTGGGGTATCTAGTGACATCGATTTGATTGCTTAGTCAGGCAGAGGAAAGAAATTCAAAAGCAGTTTCTTTTTCTTCTGATAGTTCCTTTGCAGTAAGATCCATCTTCTCACGTGAGAAATCATTAATAGGGAGACCTTCAACAATCTTCCATGTCTTATTCTGTTTGGAAATAATTGCAAATAAGAGATTTACAATGACACTGGAATTGATCCTTCAGCAAGTAACAACTTAGTGTGAACTTCAATCTAGAGAGTATCTGTTTTAAAGTCTGATTCTAAAGAAGCAAATCAAATCCAGATCTTAATGAACAGATAATTTTGATACAAATTCAATACTTGATTTTAAAACTTATTGACTGTAGAAAAAAAATTGTTTAAATGAGGATTAGCAAACAAAAAAAACTAATGATTTTATAATCATAATAAACAGCAACAATACTGAGAACTTTTGCTTCATTTAGGAGATAGTACTTGTAAGTATCCAATATTAGGGACATAACAAAGTATGTCTAGTGGGAGGAGTTGAATCTTGCTTTCCAGATTAATTTCAGTCTTTTGTTGACCTGAAGTTGTACTTTTTCATTAAAGCTGAGAAAGTTTTCTAATTTAGTAAAGGAACAATTTTCTAGACTATCTTATGCATATATAATAAAAGCCCAATATGCAAATCAACCAAACAGCAGAAAGACTGATGGAACGGCCAGTTGCTATGATGCGCACTGACCACCAGGGGGCAGACCCTCAATGCAGGAGCTGCCCCCAGCCCGCAAGACCCAGGCCAGCCAAGGTGGGTGCCAGTGGGAGCTCCCTAATTGCACCACCAGTCACCTCACAAAGGGAAGCGCAGGGCCTGTGAGTGGCTGTCCTGGCACCGCCTACTTGCTTCTCCCTCCCTCCCTCCCGTCAGTCACCTCCCTCTGTGGGACAGTCACCCCACAGATCAGTCCTGATCCTACCCATGCATGAATTTTGTGCATTGGGCCTCTAATTATTAATAAAAACATACAATTGCTTTTCCAGTAGGGGACAGGGGGAAATAACCTCCAAATGCCTCACCTTGATTGTAACAGGGAACGAGTACAGCAGGTCGTCGGGGACACCGTAGGAGTTGCCGTCAGAGATAATGCCCATGGACACGAACTCTCCCTGAGAAAACAATTTTTACATTCTCATGGTGCTTAGGAACTGGTTTACATAACCAACTGACACCTGGACTAATGAAATTAAAACAGGCGACACCTTCTTACTATATACATAACTTCATTACCGTGTAAGGAACCATCACCAGGCACTTCTACAGGGTAACTTTCTGGGATATAACCTCATTCCACTCTTCCAATCATTGTGTGAACTAAGTCCAAGAAACAAAATCCTCACTTCATAAACGATGAAACTATGACCACCATAGGCTTTAAGATGAAAAAAATACCTCCCTTACCATGTGTGCGAGGTGAAATATATTCTCACTTAACCCTCACAGCCCATGTGAGAGATGACAAGGCAGCTCAGAAAGACCAGATAACTTTCCCAGGGTTCCTCAGCTAGAGCAAGCTGAGCCAGCGAATGAACGTAGCCTGCCTGACCGCGAAGGTTATGTGCTTTTCACGTGACAGCACAGAGGACAAAAGTGAAAGGAAGGCCTGTGCAAGCCACGGAGTCCTCACCTCTGGGGTTCCAAACCAGATGTCCCGGATGTGGTCACAGATGGCTTTCGCAGCAGACATCGCACTGGACAGTTTTCGAGCCTTGATGACGGCGGCGCCCCGCTGCTGCACAGTCTGGGCGGGGGGGGGCAAAGACAGCAGTGTTACTTGATCATGACAGCAGCATTTTCCTCATTTCCAAACTGATCCTGGGGTCAAAGACTGCAACCGTTCCTTGTGTGTCCCCTGTGTGTCCCCTCCAAAATCAGGCACCTACCCAATGCTGGCCTTCCTAACCCATTGCAGTTGTAAGTACCAGTCTTTTTAGAAAAAACTACAAATCTCCCCGGGGTTTACCATACTTCATACAAAAAATTTGATTCTCTGTATAAAGATAACCAGACGGCTATCCATGCTGGCTGCCATGCAACAGATCAGATCAGAATGGATCATGACTGGCGTAGTAGGACCCCAAAACAAAGCGTGCCGTCATTAGCAGCTGCAGAAGACCTGTCCTCCTTGTGTCCCTCCCCGAGCCCTGGGGAACACTCAGGCCAGTCACGTGGCGTCTCTCAGAGTTCTTTATGCCTGGCTGTTAGGCAAGCTCCCAGATTTTTCTTACTGTGATGAAGTCTCCCTTGAGCCAGCTGTCATTTTTCAGAGCTTCATAAACACCAACTTCTTTTCCTTGCAGTTTCACCTTGGCATGGTTGACATCTGGATACTGAGTTGAGGAATGGTTTCCCCAGATAATAACATTCTTTACATCCTCAGAAGTCACACCAAGTTTAAGAGCAATCTAGTTAAATAGAAAACAAATACATTACTTAGACAAAGCTTTCCATTTCAAACTGTGACCTGTTTGTTTAGAGTAGAGAGCATCATACAGTTTGTGGTTATTAGTATAATGGGTTTATCAAATATAAAACACAAAGCAAGAGGTTAATCTTGCTTGAATATGTAAATGTGCCCCTGGTTTTGTTGTTATTACTTATTTAGAGACTTGCCTTAACACTTCTGAGCAATCAGGTATTTAGAAAGTTTCTATTTGGGTGAAATTTTTATTATATACCATGTATAAATGAACTAATTTTCAAATATTCCTAAATATGAAAATTTTAGAGTTAGAGGGACTTAGATGAACAAAGTCTGACTGTCTTGGTTTTACAGACTAAGAAACTGAAGGAAAGAGTTTAAAATAACAAAATGCTAAAATTATAACAGATGTAACAATCTCTAGCTGTAAGTTCAGAAAGTACTTTAGAATCCTGTTGGCCTTGTGGTTACATAAACATCAATTATATTATATAGTACAGTGGCCACAGAAAGGATTTAAAAGTTATGTTTTGCAAGATTTAAATAAAATAAAATAAAACCAATTGATTCTTTTTTATTTACCTGATAAGGTAATATGCAGAAAAAACATTATGGTTAGTTATATGTATAATTTGTTCCTAATTAGACAGAAGAATTTATGATGAGTCAGAAAGAAATGTTCAAAAAACAATTTTTAAAAGCTGATGTGTTAGGGTGACGCTGTGGATGGTTTTTCTTTCCTTATTATAATCATGGGAGAGAAAAAAACAGTTGTGTCAAGAGTCCATAGCTTTTAAATATTAAATAAAAGCAGCACTGCATCGAAGTTCCTTTTGAGCATTAACCATATAAGAAAGGGGAAACACTCTCGTATTTTAAAGAAATTTTAAAAACAAGGATGGTAACAACCCTAAAGTCTTTGAAGGAGAGTTAAACTGTGGAGCCTCCACACAATGACAGAAACAGAGTAAACGGAAAAATAAGTGTAAGTGGAACCTACAACTTGGATGGATATTAAAGGCATTAAATTGAGTGGATAAAAGCTAATCTTAAAAGATTACTGGCCCCATGATTCCATTTTTGTAACATTCTCAAACAGACACAGTTTCAGAGATGGAGAACAGATAATTGTCAGGCTTAGCAAAGGAGAGGGAGCAGCATAAAGAGGTTTTTCTGTGTTTTCAGTAGGAGTTCTGTGGGTGATGGGACAGTTCTGTTTTGACTACGGTGGCTATTTATAGTAATCTATATATATGACTAAATGTCAGAGAATCATTCATAAAGACATTCAAACAGGAAAGCATACAGAAATCTGAGTAACTCTAGTTAGCGGTGACGTATGTCGTCTGTGTCCTGCTTTGATGATGCTCTAGAGTTATGTAAGATGGCACCACTGAGCAGAGCCCATGGGATTCTCTGTACTGTTTTTGCAACTTCTTCTGAGTCTATAATTATTCCAAAATTAAAAAGTAAAAAACAAACAATAAAAACAACACAATTAACCAAACAAAAAAATAAGGATGAAAAAGGCCATTACCTAAAATGTTTGCAATGACTTTACTCATCTCGCACTAATTTACTAAGTTAAGAAATTGTCTTTACTTTCATTGTGACCCTTAAAGTAAGTTGAAACTGCTTAAAAAAAAAAAAAAGTGTTTTTTAAAATCTATTTTTATTGATTTCAGAGAGAATAGGAGAGGGAGAGATGAAAACATCAATGAGAGAATCATTGATCGGCTGCCTCCTGCACGCCCCCTACTAGGGATCAAGCCCCAACCAGGCATGTGCCCTCGATCGGAATCGAACCTGGGAGCCTTCAGTCCATAGGCCAGTGCTCTATCCACTGAGTCAAACCAGCTAGGACTTTAAAAATATTTTTTAGTTGATTGATTTGAGAGACAGAGAGGAAGGAGGAAGGGGGGGAGGGGCGCAGAGAGAGACACCAATTGGCTACCTTCCATACATACCCCAACCAGGGAATGAACCCAAAACCCAGGTATGTGCCCTGACCTGCAACCTTTAGGTGCACAGGACCACTCAACCAAGTGAGCACTCTAGTCTGGCTCATTGGTTGATTCTTGTATGTGCCCTGACTGGGGATCGAATCCACAACCTTGGCAACCTAGGACAATGCTCTAACACTAAGCTACACCCTAGATCGATGAGCCTGATTTTTAAATCCTAGAATAGATAATTTTAAGAATTAACTTAAAATTCTTATGGATTTTTTTTTTTTCACTTTTTAAATTACTTCTGATCTAAACCCTGCTTCATCTAGAGTTCTGCAAGTTTTAACTATCATATCAGTCTTCACTAATTAGACGGATGGCTGGTTTCTGGGGTACCCAGCTATTGACCTGCTTGGTGGTTGGGGTAGAGTGTGTAGCATTGTGAAACAGTACCATTTTCTCTGTGTGCCACGATCTGAAAGGACTTGGGAAGAATGCCCTATTTATATTTAGCTGTCATTGTAGAGAAAAAGGAGAATTTATACCTGGGCAAGTTACCCAAGATGTATATTCTCAAGCACTCAGAACATTCTGTTGGATGTCAGCTTCAGCTGCTCCGAAGTACGGTGCAGACACACTGCCTCTAGCCCTCTCCTCCCCACAGGATGCTCCTCTTACTTCTTCTGTCCTGTTGCCTGCCTGCCTCCTCTTGTTCTTTGGATCTCTTGAGCTAATCCACTTCTGTCAGGACAGCAAAGTCCAGTACTTGGCACCAGGCAGATGTAAATTCTGAATATCATTCATGTCAGAGCTGGTTTAAATGAGCACGTATGCAGGACAGCAGTTCCCTGCTCCCTTAGACACTTTTGTGCCTGCCACTCCGATCTGTTAAATAGTGTTTGACTAATGTTCCAGCCCTAACCATTTCCTTCCCCTGATGCCACCTAACTGGTTTCGCTGTCAGAGTACCTTGTCAGCAGGCACATACGCAGTTCTGGGTTGTAAATACACAAGGGAGTTTTGCAGGTGGTAAACAACTGCTGGGTAGCTAAGTCCGCTGAATTCCAAAACAAACCATGTAAGACTAATAACCGTTCACGTAAGAAAAATTCCTCTTTGGGTTTGTTATTTGTCACTGGATTAAAGAAACTGCTTCTTCAAATACGTCCTAGAAGCTGTCCCTGTGCCAGGCTGGCATGCTGAACACGGGCCAAAAGCTAAAGTTTGATGAGACAGCTGCTTCTTCCCTCTGTCCTCAGCCAGACTTTCACCCCGACAAGGAAAATGGCTTCAGGCACTGGGACAAAGTGTCACTTGGTAGTGCCTCTGGAAGCAGTATCTTCCAATGCCGGCCTCCATCGAGGCCTCAGGAGAAACAGCAGAGATGGGAAACTTGTTGTGGTGTCATTTTACCTCTCTCCTTCCTACAACAAAATTAAGTAACCATCCAGAATCTACAGCGGCAGCACCCATATCTTTTCCTTAGCTGTGAAACAGCACATGTTCTCTAGCAGCCAAATCAGAGGCCAGGCCACTCTTCTGGGCTGGTTTCCGTAGCACCCAAATCCCCTGCCTCCGGTCATTCAAACTCCTATTCCTTCCCTGCCACCAGACTCTGGCTAAATAATAAGGAAAAAGACCCAGCCCTCAGCCTAACTCTTCTCAGGAATTATTTGCAATTTAAGTTTGTTACCTAAGAATCTTCTAAATGAACTGGAATGTTCAGGGAGATATTTCTGAGGTATGGCTCTTCTCAACTCTTTCATATATCCCTCTTAATAATACTAAAGATTAATAGTAATAATAGCAGCCAACCTTCATTGAGTTTTACAATGTGACAGGCACCACTATAAGGGCTTAACTTAGCTCTTATCTCATTTTACCCGCATAACTACTTTGAGATCGATACAATCATTATTCCATTTCACAGTATGAATATACTCTCTCAAGATGACAGAGCTAGTAAGTTGATGTAGGTCACTTGAACCCATTATGTAAGAATACACATGAGGGTTTGATCAGGCAAATCTAGATGGCATCATTTATTAGCTCTATGACTTTAAGCAGGTCCCCCAACCTTCCTGGGCTTTAGGTTTCTGATCTGTAAAATAGTGATAATAATGGATATTTCATACGGTTACTATAAGAATTAAATGCTGCGAGGGGGATGGTAGGAGCAGGGTAGAGGGGGACCCATGAAGGATAAAGAGGGAACACCTATTAATACGTTCAACAATATAATTTTTTAAAAAGAATAAAATGGAAAATTACATGTAAAGTATTCAGCCTAGAGTAGAAGTTTAGCAAATTATCTTCTCTTTCACTGGTCTGAAAGATCAATTCTCAGTATACAGCAGACCTCACATAATTTTTTGGTAAAAATAGTTGTCTTGAAACTAAACAAACTTGTCTTCTCTAGGAGAAAAAAGACTACACTCATACACCTGTGGATAAGGACGGGTGGTCAGAAAATTACTGGGGAAGAGAAAGAGTGTATGTCTCAGAACTAGAATTTAGTGCCATGACTTCTAGGCACCAGGATCATCTACCTCTGGGAAAGCCCAGGAAACCAGCACAGATGAGTGGCGTGTCCTCTAATTAAAAAAAAAATATATTTTATTGACTTTTTATAGAGAGGGATAGAAAGTTAGAAACATCGATGAGAGAGGGACGTTGATCAGCTGCCTCTTGCACACCCCCTACTGGGGATGTGCCCGCAACCAAGGTACATGACCTTGACCAGAATCGAACCTTTCAGTTCGCAGGCCGATGCTCTATCCACTGAGCCAAACCAGTCTTGGCATGTCCTCTACTTTTTTAAAAAGCTATGGTTAATGCCCAGGTTACTGACCCCTTGGCATAATGTAAGGGATAAGAAAATATGATAAATTAAGACTTAGCTAGATAGTGAAAAGTAGGTAATTTTATGGAAACATATAGATTAAAAAGACATAAGATTAAAAATGAGAATACAAATTTAACAATTAAGTCTGAATTTGACAGGTTGGTTGTAGGGAAAAAGGAAGCAGAACCAACCAAATACATAAAGCTAAAGTCTTTCATTTTATAACCTTGTTTATATTTGACAAAAAAAAACCCCGAACCCCTAAATTATGAACCATCATGTAAATTATCTAGACGAGTGAATACTTTTTAACCAACCATCTTAAGAGGACATTAGCAACCATATTTAGTTATAGGTTGCAAATGAGATATACTTGAGAAAATTAAATAGGAAGTTCAGCTCTGATACTTATGAGACCAGATTTAAAGACTCCCTAACAAATTAGAATAGCTTCCTACTCATAAAAAAACAGCAAAAAAAGCACAAACTAAGCGTCATCGCCTTTAAAAGGGAGAGAAAAGCCTGGTCAGATGTGGCTCAGCGGGTGAACATCGACCTATGAACCAGGAGATCAGGGCTGCATTCCCGGTCAGGGTACGTCCTGGACTGCAGGCTCGCTCCCCAGAGCCGGGTGTACAAGAGCCGCAGATTAATGATTCTCTCTCATCCCTGACGTGTCTGTCTTTCTTTCCCTCTCCCTTCCTCTCTGAAATCAATAAAAATATATTTAAAAAATATTAAGGACAAAAAGTGAGAGAAAAGGGTTTTATAAGGTTGAACATCCCTGAGACGTTAATTCTTACCTGAGCTTTAGCTCGGTTATGATCCAAACGAGTCAAGCAGCTGAAGTTCTCCTTGGGGATGGATGGAGCCGACTTAGAGGCAGTCAGGCAGTTGGTATTGGCTGGGTTTCCCACCACGATGACCTAGGATAAACCCGTCACAGCAGTTACAGACCACAGACCTCTTAACTACACTGTCTTAGCATATGACTGACAAAGGTATAAAATGTTGCCTTTGTATCAAGTTTGTGCCAGCTACATATGTCGTTAACAGTATAGCATCTTGCAGGTTTCTATCCTCCCTTCTAAAAACTCCCCCCCCCCCCCCTTTGTTAGGATACACTGTGACTGCTGAAAACATTTCTTTAATAAAACCACCATTAGATATGTAAGTCACTTTTCAGGTAGCGCTGCTGTCCAAGATCTAAGGTACATGTCTTTCTGTTCCGTTTTGTGCCAAAACAGACGGCACTTATCTACTTGCCACAAAGAAAAAGTAATCTAAGGCTCTACCTCCGAGTTTGATTTATTGATAAAAATTTCCTTCTTATAAAAATAGTACAAGAAAGAAATTCTACTCAAGCAGTTTACTTTAGGACAATGATTTATTTTTATGAAGGAAAAGTGTTTTTCAATCTTGCTAATCCTATGAATTAATGGAGATATTTGCCAAAATACAGATTTCCAAGTCCCATCCATTCTATACCTACTGAATCAATCTTTAGGAGAAAGCATTTTAGGCTCTTTTTTTTCAATAAGGGAGATATGGGATACAATGAACTACAATATAGTATAGGAAAATGTACACATGGACTTATTAAGTTTTAAAAATCTCTAATGAAATGATCATTTTAGAAAACGGTGGCCTGGCTAGTGTGGCTCAGTGCTTGGGCATCGATCTATGAACCAGGAGATCATGGTTGGATTCCTGGTCAGGGCATGTGATTACACGCTTGATTCCCAGTAGGGAGTGTGCAGGAGGCAGTTGATCAATGATTCTTATCATCCATGTTTCTTTCTCTCTCTCCCTCTCCCTTCCTCTCTGAAATTAAAAAAATATATATTAAAAAAATAAAACTGTGAAATAATATCAAACTTACAGAAGAGATGAAAGCATATTAAAGAGACTAACTCCCACATTTCCTTTACCCAGATTCTCTAATTTGCTCCATTTTCTCTCCCTCTCTTTACCCCACCCCCATCCCTTAGTGTTTTATTTTTGGCCCACTTGAGAGTAAGCTGCAGACATACTTTATGCTCCTAAGTATTCCATATCAGTGTGTATTTCCCCAAAAAACACACTTGGCTGAAGGGCGAGTACTGTGCAAATAATACTGCAATTCCAAGCAGCCTGGATTTTAGCAATCCAAACAACCTTATAATTTTATGAACCAATGTCACCCCAATAAATTAAATTAAAAAAATAAACAAACAAAACAAATAACCTTGTAATTTCTTACTAAGAGACCTTCGGGTTTCTACTCAACTCATCTCTATTAATTTCTGCTATTGATTACAGAAAATGAAAGTTACTTATTTAAAAAAAAGTCTACAGAAAGCAAACATTCAAATGTCTATGAAATATTATGATAGAATATTAAAACTTGCAACTTTAAAAATCTTATAAATTTCTTTTACCTTTCTCTGAAGTCAGGACACAGAAGAAGTACTATATCAAAATCAACAAAACCTCTAACCAGCAAGCGTTCTGCTGTGACAACTAAGTTCTAGTTCACTGACATTTATTTGGTAAAAGGAGGCTTTCTTGTAATAACAAGACAAATTTAGGAACTAAAATGTTTGATCATAAAGAGAACAGAAAGTCATACTGACTCAACTCCTCTTGACAAGCCTATCACTGAGTTGAGAAAAATCTGAGCATTCAAAAGCCACCATCTACTGCTAAGAATGCAGCTTACAGCCGCCTCCCTCTACAATCACACTCAATCCAAATGTCCGAACTAATATTCCCACACAGTTAAAAGACACCAGAAAGTTCTGTGCCTTGTGGGTATACAAATAAATCTTAAAATTGCAAGTAATAGGCAAAGTATTTTCAAGCAACTCTAAGTAGAGATTTCACCATCAGAGGAAAAGCCAGAAAGGGAGAGCTTATCAAGCAAAACTCTGTTTCTGTATTTACTGGCTATTGCACAGATTGGGGGTGGGAAGCAAATCATTTTGTTGAACTTAAATGCTGAGAGCAGAAGCTTCAAATGCTAAGAATGAAAAGCCCTATCAAATGCTACTGCACGGTCACCTTAACTGACTTCTTGGCGTATTTGTCCAAGGCGGCACCCTGGGATTTGAAGATTTTCACATTAGCTTTGAGTAAATCTTTCCTCTCCATGCCATCCCTTCTGGGCATGGAGCCCACAAGAATAGCCACATCCAGGTCTTTGAAGGCAACCTCTTCTTTATCCGTTGCGATGACATCTGTGAACAACATGGCAATACATATGCAAATACTTAAACACCAAAGTTTGAGGCTTTCTTTTTCATATTGAATCTATCTGGTAACTCCTTCACTTTGTAGCAAATGTTTCTTTTACATGTCACATTGATAAAAAGTTTTAGGGGCCTAAGAAAGACAATTTAGAATTCAAGAATAACATCAGCAGAAATGTCAGTATATTTATTTCATTTTCCTATTTCAATAATTATATTAATTTCAAAAATTATGATACAAAGATATAGAATGATAACTTTCATGGCAACATTTGTTATTCAGGCTAATAATCACAGATAACACACACACAAAAAGAAATGAATCCACCTAATCTGTAAGTTAAAATTACTTTAATTAAAAGGTCATGCCTAGAGTTATTGACTGAATGTTTGTGTCCTCCACAGAATTCCTATGTTGAAACTGGCCCTCCTCGTGACGGCATTAAGGGTGAGGCCTTTGGAAGGTGATTAGGTCACGAATGGGATGTGTCCATAGCACTGCCTCATCCCTTCCACCATGCGGGGCGGTGAGAAGAGGGCCAATTCTTGGTCCAAGAATTGGGTTCTCATCAGACACCCAATCTGCTGGCTCTTCCCAGGCTCCAGAGCTGTGAGAAATAAGTTTCTGTTGTTTATAAACCTCTCAGTCCATGGTACTTTTATTAAAACAGCCCAAGTGGACTAAGACAACCAGGATTAAGCATACATTTTTAGATTAGTGAACACTAATCATTTAATGATTTAGGTGGCAGTATCCTTTCTAGTAAATGTTTATTGAACATAGACATGAATTCGGAAGATGGCTTCCTTGGGTATATATTTTGCTTTGTGGAAACTTTTTTAGAAGAGTATTATTAATTAAATCCTCATCAAAAGAAAAAGATCACGATAAAGGTAAAGCTAAACACTCAATTTATGACTTGACCTAATATTTTCATAAACCTTTCAATCAACTTGAAGATTTCTGTCTTACACTTATGGAATAGTTCAATGATTCTCAAAGGCTCTTAATCAGAGCCCTAGTGGATTTTTTTTTCAAATTATGCAGTAGATGATTCTAACAATTTATACTATATTTCATCAGATGGGATGGGACTATCTGTATATGATGGATCAACCCATTTCCGGCCACATAGCAGTAATGGGTCTGGATGACAGAGTTAAAAAAGTTTCCCAGTACAGGATGCTACTATTACCATTCAAACAGACTTTAGATCACAACACAGTGTAGACAATTTCAGGTGTACAACCCTTGTGCAACACTATACTTGGTTAGTAAAATCTATAATAATAAAAGTACAATATGGTAATTAGGTTGGATGTCCTTCCGGATGAAGCCGGGGAGGAAGGCTACTCTTGCACGAATTTCGTGCATCGGGCCTCTAGTGAGTCATATGTAAGCATGGGGGGTAAAGTATTTTACTTCACACTGGTTATTTCTCGCTTTTACCCTTATTTATTCTTGGTATATAACTATGCTGACTTATTTTTGGTATACATCTTACCAAGTAGTTGAAATTTTAGAAACCAAACCAAGCTATGTTTATGAAATAATTTCTAATTGACAGGTTAACGAAAATCTGAAATCTAGTTTTCGAAAGACATAAAGTACTAAAAAAAAAACCCCTCTCCCTTCCACTCTCTGACATACCTTTCAGGAGGGGAAGGGCACAGTCTTGCAGTTCCATGAGGACGCCATCCAAGACCCCCATCATGGGAGTGATGTCCAACAGCACAAGGATTATAGGCTGTCAAAGAAATAGCAGGTTCAGTATCTGTCAGTGTAGGTTTTGTCACTTAGTCACAAAAAAAGACCTTTTAAAAATTTTTTTGCTTATTTGTTGTGTATATGTGTATAATTTCCACTAATTAGTAATAATTATTTTAGGTCAGGTGTCTAGCATGATGCCACTTTTGGAAAAAGGAATGCTATAAAGCCAGCAATGGTTGCTAACAGACTTTGTAAGAGGAATCACTAATACTGAATTTTAAAGGAGAGATGCATGGAATACATATTATAAATACATGGAAGAAATACGAAACTGAAGTGACGTGGCACCTGTATCTGTAGATCTGATTTGAGTTCATGGAAAGCTAAGTATAGTATTTGGCATGAAGAAGAATTCACTATCCACGGATGAAGAAAATGGATAAATGAATACTTTAGAATGTGTAAATACACATTCATAGCAGTGTGCCTAGTACATTAATTGAGATTACCCATTCCTTCACCATTTAAAACTTTCTTTGCACTATATGCCGGGCTTTATTGACAATCTTTTTAGTTTAAGATTTATAGGCAGTTGCCCCTACCTGGTCTTTACCAAAGACAGATCCATTTCCGATACTGTACAGCAGTGAATATGCGATCTGACCAGCTGCTCCAGTCACAAGGACTCTGACGGGTTCAGGCTGTAATGAAAGAGACCCATTAACATCTTATTAAAAAGTGCTATTTGCCAAAACCGGTTTGGCTCAATGGATGGAGAGTCTGCCTGTGGACTGAAGGGTCCCAGGTTCAATTCCGGTCAAGAGCATGTACATTGGTTGCAGGCACATCCCCAGTAGGGGTGTGCAGGAGGCAGCTGATTGGTGTTTCTCTCTCATCGATGTTTCTAACTATCTATCCCTCTCTGTGAAAAATCAATAAAAAAAATATATTTTTTTTAAAAGTGCTATTTTTTCCTAAAGATATTCAGTAGTTTTTCTATAGTAAGACAACAATATACTTTAAAAGTTAATGCAAAAATTTAAAGTCTCTTTGTGTGCAGATTAGTAGAAAACTAACTTATCCCAGACCTGTCCCAGGAAATACAGTGTGCACAAATTAGCTAAGCAACTTCTTGAACCTGTGTTCTTTGGCTGCATGTTTATGTGACATCATTTAACTCTTACTGTTATACTGGATTTACTTATGTAATCCCATCCATTTTTTAAAGGACATTTTACCACAAAAACACGCCTACCAATGTTGAAGTGCATTATGTGGTGATACAAACCCTGGCGGCCATTAAAACCTTACAAATCCTCTTACATAAATAACTCCCCACTCCCATCTCCTCAACAGAATCTCTACACCAGGAAAAGGAGTGACAGTGGCTAAAATTTTCCATTCACCATGAGCCTAAAGTTTTAATAAAATTATTAATCATGATTCAACTTAACTAATTGGTGGAGGAAAAGTAAACCTTTATTTTTTTGAGAAAATAATAACATCTGAATTATAACAACATGTAGTGACAGTTGACAACCTTATTCTAAAGGGAAATGAATTTTAAAAGGGAGGAAGGGAGAAAAGTACAAAGAGCACAACAGCTACAACAGAGAGAAGTTGCTTTACAGATCTCAACAGACCCCAGACAGGGACATGTGTTCAAAAACAACTAACATTCAAAGTGATGATCCCAAGTCATGAAAATAAGTTAAGCTCAGAGAATTAAAAAGAGAACTAGTTCTACTAAAAGGAGCTAAACAAACATGTTTGGGAACAATAGGTAAGTTTAAGTAGGTGGAAAGTTTAATCAAGTGGACTATTCCTTTGACAATGCCAGGTATATGAACGTCTCCTGTGACGCCTCTATTGCTAACTGTATGAGAGAAGTGGCCTACTGAACTGACTGAATTAGAAGTATTTGATTTTTTTCCTTCTTCTTCTTCTCCTTTTTTAAAAAAATATATATTTAGAATTCCCTCTTCCAGAGAAGACATGCCTCTTGGATGGAAGGAGACTACCACCTTGAAGAATCTTTCTAACTTTACAACCCTAACCTCTGAAGGTCAGGAAATATATGCCCAATTGTAGAGAAATGAATCTGATCAAAGCAGCCTGTGAGTGCAATTTCTTCCTCAAACATGAAACCAGGATGGAAATGGAAAAAAAGGAGAAAACTATGGAGGTTTCTCCCTGACCTCCTGTGTCTCTTCTCCATCCATATCTCTAAATATAATTCCCCAAATAAACAAATTTTAATACAAATACACATTTAATACAAATACACAAGTAGACTTTAGTTTTATAAAGAACATCGTATATGGTTACTTTCTATAATATGGCCTTTACCTGTTTTTAATTTTGTCATTTCCCCTTCTCCACTTGAAGTGGATGAGAAAAAGGGAATAGAAATTATTCCTCTTCCCTCTTTAGAATGCAAACTCCTTACTGACAGGGGCCTTGTCTATTTTATTTATTGCTATATTCCAACTACCTAGAACAATGCCCTGAACACAGTTGGAATGCAATTACTGAAGGAATAGCTTGATCTGGTAAAATTACTACCAAAAACTTGGAACTACAAAATAATTGTTTGGAAGCAAACCTAACATGCTTCAAAAAGTATTTAAGATATTTTATTACTATATACTTAGAATACATCATTGAGAAAGTTGGAAATTTATTACCACCATAGTCCCTGGTATAGTCAGCAAAATTATTTTAGGTCGCTAGTTCCAATGATATATATAGTCTTATAAATCAATGGATGAACTGTTCTCACTTCACTTATTAATCAATATATCACTGAACCTCTATTATATATCTGGTACTATTTTAGGCCAGAAGGTTAGAGGCAGTAGATTGTAGTAAAGAGATGGCCTTTAGACCAGACTTCTGGATGCAAATGCTGACTCCACAACTCATTAGGTGTATCGTTATGTTCCTGGCAAGTTACTTACCATCTCTGTATTCCGTTTCCCTACAGTGAAATGGAAATAGTAAGAGCAGCTGCTTAACAAATAAGGTAGTTGTAAGGGTTAAGAATTAACATACAAAGCATTAATAACAGTGTGTAGCAAGAACTGTAATTATAGGTCTCTGTCGCCACAGACTTTTCCTTTAAGGATTCTTACTGCCGAGGTTTCCCATTTCCATGACTGTTATTTTCTACTAGACTGTGAACAACTCCCAGCCCCCACACCAGTCCATTTCAGAATGTGAACTGACAGCATTCCACCTGGGACTCAAATTTGCAGTCCATAAAGTGCTAAACAAATATTGACGGAATGAAAATAAGGATTAAGAAAATTATAAACACATGCTACTTCATTGCAAAGCAAATTAGGATAAGAAATTAAGGGAAAGTGAATATTACTATCTGTAAAGCTTAATCTCCCAGAAAGTCAGACAGATGGTTATAACAGAATGATGCAATCAATTTTAGGTATTAGTTTTAGCTATTATAAAGATGTATTCACAGCATCACAGTCCTTAGTGAAGGCTCTGTGGCCAACTAATGAACAGCTAGTAATTCTAACTCAGCAGTTCCCTTCTTCTGTATCTCTGAGCAAATTATTTCACAGGTAGGTAATTCCATCCTGTTAAGAGCAGCAGGAAGCCTAGTTAGTGTCTGAATGTTTGATGATCAAAAGGAAAAGAACAAACTGCACATTTGGTTCTTTCTGCTCTTCGGAACATTGCCGTTGAAAAGCAGGAGGGTGGGAGATTCCTGCTGACTTCTCACAAGGTTACAGCGCGAAGGCAGGTTACTATTCTTTGCTTCGAAATCTGGGCAGTTTGCCAAGATCCAAAAAAGAAAAGTCTTTGCTCTTGGCAGGGCACTAATGACCTTCCTACAGATGCAGGCTCTGTCTGTCTACACATGTGTTCAAGACTCAGTTGTAAAGCTTGAATTTAAGTGTTCCTTCTGTCATTCTACGGAAAGACCCATGTATTCCTCTTTTGCTTTCTAATTTATATATATTTCTGTACCATAAAGGATAAAAAGTAGTATCATTCCGATTTCTTCATAAGAGTTTATTCTTACTGTCACTCCCTTCTGAACGCAAGCAAAAAATTCTCTCTTTTACAATTTTTTTTTTGCTTTGTATAGCTTACGGAAGATGGCTGTTTTCTAGCTCAGTGATGGTTCATACACTGTCCTGCAAGGGAAAGGTGATTCCCAGTCATGTGAGAATTTGCTGTCAATTTCGGCAAATGGACAGGAGGGCTGGTCATCAAGGTCTCTGTTATCTGGTGCTCAGTGACCTTCCAGGGGTGAGGCTGGTTTGATCTACTGCATAGCAAATACACACAAGAACGGGGCTCAGATCTCTCGGTGACCTTGGGAAAGTCATTTGACCTCACCAGGCTATATTTTAAGATTAGAGAAATAATCTCCGAATTCCCTTCTAGAGTTCCAACATTCTGAATTGCAAGGAATAAAGCTCTCAGGTAATATAAATGCTGATAACATACTTTAGTTTATATTTGCAGCATGAGCTTGCACCTTCATCTAGACCCTCAGCTACCAAACACAAGTTTCAGAATGACTTGATAAGTATCTGTATGACACAATATGGTAAAGTGGAAAGAGTGTGAGACCCTTGAAGGCAAACTGTTGTGTGACCTTGAGCAAGTTACATTCTCTTTGGGGTTCAATAAACTCAATTTTAAGATTTGAAGTGGGGAGATTTGTCAAAATGATCTTTGAAAGGTTCCATCAATTTTAAAATCACAAAGCCTGAAATTCTCTGATAATTAATACCTCTGCGTTCTTGCCAAGATTAGGTCAGAACCACTGAAACACTATTTAAATGACTATTATGTTATCTGATGAAATGAGAAATCTAGGTTTAACTGAGAATTAGTATCTGTCTCTCCTTTTCAACTTGGTCTATCAATAGCATTTTCAGGTTCTGGGAAATTTCCAATCCATTCAAATATTTTCCCACACTCCCCACCCATTTCAATTATTTTGAGATAACGGAGAAAAAACAAGTTTCAACTCTAAATACAAGCACTGAAGCAATTTTACAGTGTGATGTTAAATGTCACCTTCAAACGTCGGGCAGATCATTACTACGTCAGAGTTCTCTCACCATCCCCCCTTTCCCCTTTCAGCAGAGACAAGATCTTCATGACAAGATGGTTAAGTTGTGTAACACTTAAAAGTAGTAGCTCTAGATTTCACAACATGCAGATCAGTAAAGCATATCTGCAACCTAGTTATTTGGCTACTGATGCTGTCGCGGCAGCACGTCCCAGTATTACAAAGGATCAATGAGCAGGTTTTAAATGGCATTAAATTAGATATGGCTGAGACTCGTCTCCCGTTTTATAGATCATAATCTGGAGCACCAGGTAAACGCTATTACAGTCGAGGGCCTTCGGCTTTCAAGGGCTTGGTGACAAATGCCCTTAAAAACACTGTGGGCATAAGAGTAGAAAAAAAGAAAAAGAAAAAAAAAAAAAGATTAGGAAGCCCTTCCCAACCCCTCCCAGTATGTTGAAACCCCATTTCTTGCTTGGAGACAATCCATCCACAGCTTCATGTTTCTGCACCCCCGCCATGCAGCAGGGCTGAGATCGCACCCTTCCCAAGGGCAGCGATTTCTCTAGAGTCCTTTCCAAGACCCCCGCCGCCCCCGCCCCGGCTGGAAATCCGCCCCTTCCCAATGCCCGGGTCACTGCGACAGCGCCCAGAACATGAGTCGGGGTTTTCCAAAGGGCGCGAAGGACAGTGCTTTGCACAGCCATCCCCCCCAAAGTCCTTCAAGCGCAAGAATCCCCCCCGCATAAGGGAATGAAGGCAAACTCCAGGGGCCCACACGCACCATGATTGGAGACTGCGCGGACAATTTCAGCGCCTGCACGATTTCAGCGCCTGCACGATTTCAGCCCCCGCACAATGAGACGTGGGGAGTCAGGTCACCTCTACGGCGCGGCCGAACAGGGACGGAGCGAGCGCCGGCAAAGAGAGACGAGAGAAAAGGCTCCGCTCCCGACCGCGGCGCCCTCTGGGAACTGTAGTTCAGGCTGCCCCGATGCCGGCGCCATCTCCAACGGCATGTCCTTCAGGTGTCGAACTACACTTCCCAGAGGCCCCAGGGACTTCTCACGCTCTCCCCTCCGCGCTTCCAGCAGGTTGAAAAGTAGTCCCCCGGGGCCGGCCGCGGTGATTGGCGAGCGGCGATCGGCGGATGGTTTGGGCGGCAGACGGTGGGCGGGGCGGCGCGTGTAAATGGATGGAGTGGCGTCCGACCGCCAGGGCTACCTCATCCACACGTGCGCCCCTGAGATGTTATCCAACCCCAGCGGGAAAAGTGGGAGGTAAAAAGACCTTCCGCGGTGTACAGCAGCCCCACCACGACCCGGAAACAAAATCTTTTTTCTTTTTTCTTTTTTTTAAAAACTGTTCACCCGCTGGAGGGGTGAGCGGCATTGACGTGTCCGGAAGCCTGGACGGCTTCTAGCGTTGCTAAGCGACGAGGCGGGGGAGTCAGCGCGTTCTCGGGCCGCCGGGGGCACCTGAGGAGTCCGTGGCCGCAGCTGCTCAGAGTCTCTGCCCCGAGCCAGCCGCCGCGCCCTCCCGCGCCCCCCTCCAGGGGACCCCGCACCCCAGCGAGTGTCCGGCGGCGAAGCGCGGGGTCTGCGGCACGCCCCGCCGGAGGCTCCGGAGCCGCGCGTCTCCCCCACGCCGGAGGCAGGTGAGCCCGGGCCGGAGGACGGGGGTTTCCTTTAAACTTTAGGGTCGGGTTTTGCAGCCGCGCGCCCCGAGTGGGGACGCCCCGGGCGGGTGCCGCGGGCTCGCTGGTCCTGCTCCGCTCCGCGCTCTGCAGGGTCCCCTCCGCGCCCTGAGATGCGACTCTTCTCAAGTTCAATGGCAAATCCTGGTCCTGGAGCTCACGGTCCACGGATCTCACTCTTTCCCTGTCTTTTGTGAATGTTGACAGTTGTCTCCATTCTTTTTTTTTTTTTTTTTTTTTTTTGAAGCTGTGTGTTCTTCAAACCATCTTTATCTTACCTTAGTTTGTTTCCCAAACTTCTCTCATGATGCGAATCACCTGGTGGAGTTGTTAAACTACAGATTCTTGAATCCCAACTAAGAAGTGCTAACTAGAATGTTTGGGAACATATAGGTAAAATTGTATGCTTAACTACTGCTCTAGGCTTAATTACTAAGCTTAGAGCACTAGTTAAGTATACAAAGCGTGGCCGTGGAATGGGAGACACTGATTGTTCGAGGCGGTCTCAGCTGGTAAAACAACTTAAGAGGTTTTCATTTATAATTAGCACTGCCCAAGAGAACTGTGGTGCCCTCTGAAACCCTGTTTTCTGTGGACTTAAAAAAGGAAGCTGTATTGTTCTGGAATAGCATCTATGTAATGAATATGAATGAAATAGCTACACTAGATAACGGTAGTATAACTTGTGGTTTTCCTTTATCATTGGTCAGTGACCTCCAAGTGGTATCTTTCAGGGTTTTTTTTGTTTTTGTTTTTTGTTTTTTTTGTTCTTCAATTTGGAGGGGTGTGCTATTGTGGGGAAGAAAAATAATATCTTACTTTTCAACTTGATCTATCAATAGCATTTATAGCATTTATCAATAGCATTTATGACTTCTCCTTGAATTGCTTTCAGCCACTCTTTTCTGGTTTTCCTCTTACGTTACTGCTTGCTCCCTCCCCGTGTTCCTTGCAAGTTCTTTTTACTGCTGACCTCTTAACACCGGGGTGCCTGTATTCTTTTGTGAACACGTAAGTGATCTGTGTTGCATGAATTGCATGGTTGTGGTTTCAAACACCACTTCTATGTCAGAAAACTCCCAACATGCAACCGTATATTCTTTAAGTTTCTGATTTTTCTTTAAAAAAAAAAAAAAAAAAGGCTCTAGAACTGGGTTGTCCAAGGGTTTTAAAATGTAAATGAACTAAAACGGAATAAAATTAAAAATCCAACTCATGAGTCACACAAGCTACATTTCAAGTGCTCAGTAACCCACGTGACGGAAAGGGGAGTATTTCCATCATCACAGAAAGTTCTGTTGCGCAGCTGCTAGAAGTTAGTGGCCACGAGGCATCAGCCAGAGCTGGAGCAGCTGCAGCAAACATATTGGCGCTGAGGCATTTGTTTTGGCGCCGTGTCCCATGTGCAGTGCATAGCTGTTTCTGGTACCAACTGCCTACACGGGAAGGGTCCTGTCAAAGGCAGGAAAGAAACCCAATTCTTGTCTTAACCATTAACTCTTCATCGTGGAAGAACACACGTGAGCAATCTTGCTTGGCGTGTCAGTTTGAAAGAATGTTTACAAACCTTACATCATCTTGGATTTTGAGCAAGCCCGTCTTCAGGAGGGGTTGGGAAAGAAGAGTCATCCCCTGGGTGACACTGAGCATCACTTGTCTACTGTTCTGGAATACCTTTGTCCCTGGAAAAGCATGTGCTATATGTAGAGGTTTGAAATAGCCCGACAGGTTTAGACTCTGTCGATAACGGGGGTTAGGAGAGAGAGAGAGAGTCAGTTGGGGTGTCTGTATATTTTGATGCGTGTAACACCCACGGTACAATGAATACCCTTTATTGTAGTCTTGAGTTCAGTTAAGAGACAGAACTATATGGGTTGTTTGCAAATTGAATATGGTGAATAGTTAAGCAGAACAAGAGAAGGAGTGGTTAACTATTCAGTGGAGTAAATAGAGCTCTCAGCCTAAGGGACCAAGCAGTAGCAGGTGCAAAGAGTAGTTTCTCCTTTTAGGATGTGGAAGCAAGATTCCATGGGAGAGCCGAAACCGGTTTGGCTCAGTGGATAGAGCATAGGCCTGCGGACTGAAAGGTCCCGGGTTCCATTCTGGTCAAGGGCATGTACGTTGGTTGTGGGCACATCCCCAGTAGGGGGTGTTCAAGAGGCAGCTGTTTGATGATTCTCTCTCATTGATGTTTCTAACTCTCTATCCCTCTCTCTTCCTCTCTGTGAAAAATCAATAAAAATATATTTTAAGAAAATAAAAAGATCCCGTGGGAGAGCGCTCTTCTTCCTAAAATTTGGAAAGGGCATGTCTACCACGGCTCCCTGGTCTGTGGAAATGACCACTGTCAGGGAAGACCGGGACCTGAGGCCACAGATGAAGCCTATCTCCTCCCAAAGCCCTTGGGCTTTCATGTTGAATAATGATAATAATTAATGATGATGATGATGATGATGATGATGATGATGATGATGGTGGTGATGGTGATGGAGGCCAGAATCTGGAAGGGAAGTGTCCACTGCTGACACCTTACAGGGTTACTCCATTGCCCTCTCTTAAGGTGGTGAAGGAGAAATGGTTAGAGTCTCATTCCAGAGTCACAAAGCAGGGCAAGGAAAGGTAGATTTAGAGCTGAGAGATAACCAGCTGGTAATTGGCACACCCGAATGCCCAACACCTAATTTCTACAATCGTTAGGCATTTCACCATATTTACTTTATGATATATTTATATATCCACCCATTCCTCAGCCTATTGGTCACTCTTTGTTTTAAATTTTGAATTTAAAAATTATCTGCAAAACTAATTTTTGATTAGCAACAAAAAAAAAAAAAATCACAGTAGTTGCGATGAGGATTGACTGGGAATGGGCCTAAAGGAAATTTTTTGGTGACAATAATGTTCTATGCCTTGATAGGAGTTTGGGTTACAGAGGCATACGCATTTGTACAAATCTGCAAATGATACACTTAAGATTTGTGCATTTCATATTTGTAAATTTTAGCTAAGAACCTATTAACTAGGGTTTAAATTAAAATATGCTGAAGTATTTAGGGGTGAAACATACTTATGCCTGCAACTTTCTTTGAAATTCATTAATAACATAAGATGGATTGATGGATGTATAGACAGGTGAAGAGTTATATACATAAAAAATAAAATATAGATAAAGCAGATATAATAATATGAGGAAATACTGTATAGTAAAATGTTAATTGTAGAATCTAGGTGCTGTTCCCTGTATCAGTGTTTTCATTGTTTCGGCATCAGTGATAAGACTGATAATTTCATTGAGTTCAGACTGTCTTTTAGATTTGTATATGCTTCATAGAACACAACATGATATCTTCACAACACAGGGTGTAAGAAAAATGCCTTTAAAATTGCCACTGTGGAAGTTGGATAAATAATATCAGCTTAATGAACCTAATCAATTTCAAACTTTCCTGGCTTAGCAGAAACTTTACAAATATAAATTAAAATAAATATTGGAAAATGATTGGAAAAAGTTACTAAATACCAAGCACTTTAATAAATGTTTATAAATTATCAATTTTTTGGTAAATAGCTTATTATTAAATTATTTACCAAATCATTTAAATTATCAGGCTTAACCTTTAGGCAGGATTAAGTACAGTTTAGGATATAAAATATATTCGCTTGGTTTGCCTGGAGAATGTTCAGTAATTGGTGCCATCTAAGCGGACTTACTGAGAACTGTAGGTAGAGGCCCCCCAAATGGGCATATATTTCATAATCTTGCTTCAGGCCTTAGACCTTATGGTGCAAAGTGCTTATTATACATTTAAGAAGTTGCAAACTGTCCCTCAAACATGGGATTGAGTGGGTAAGGATTGCCCTTCAAAGATTGCTTCTGACTCTTAATTTCCTGCTCCTCTTATAATATTATAGTAAACATTTCAGTGCCTTGGTTCCCAAATCTGTTTTTGTAATACCCTCCCATATTTGCCTGCTTAGTTTTAAAGAATTGTGACACATAGGGAATTTCATTATTTATAGTCCAATTTAAAATATAGACCCTGGAAATGAATCAGGTTTTCATGATTTACAGCCGGGTTTTGTCATGTGCC